AATAATAAATCAATAAATCAATATTTTGCAGTTCGATTAAAACACAGCGGCTTATAAATTTTTCCCCAAGAAAAAAATGTGTGTAAAAACATTGATATGATAATCGTGCAATAAAAAAAATGATAAGATGTGGACTATCTTGGAAACGGGGAATTGCTATGGTTGGGTCAAATCATGAAATAACCTGTCAAGTGGATGAGAATGAAATGCGAACCTGTCAAGTGGATGGGAATGAAATGCGAACGGCATTTGCCCTCTGCGCCGACTGATTAATAATTGGTTTTTTCTTTTTAGAATAAGAGGACAATTATTTTTTATTTTTTATTTTATTTTATTTATATGTCAATTTAAACTTAAATTTTTTTATTTTAAATAATAATAATAATAATAACTGAGATATTGCGGACATTCACCATTAATAATTGATTTTAGAAGTACGTTTTTATTAATATGATGTTGATTTAAATCTCTATCTTTTAATAAGAGGACGAGAACCATTGGCCAGTGGGTGTGAAATTTCCCATTTTGCTGACCAGACTCGTTCGTGCTTGCTTGGACGCGTTAACATACATTCCTTCCCAGGCTGTATTTTCCAATTAAGTACCGGTCCGCCGAAGGACATGTCACCTTCCCCAGGCGTTGCAAGATTTTGTAAGGAACCAAGCCTTCACCATCTCCACAAGAGAAGCAACCTCGATGAACATAACCATATCGTTTCAATTTCACAAGCTACTTGAATATTTCCGATCCAAAGATCACCAAGTTCGAGTTCATATTTCGAATTTATCCTCCGTTTTCAGTTTCCCCAATAATTTTTAAGAAAATTCTTGTAGAAGCAAAATAGGGAATCAAGAATCGAGCCAAGCTTTTAGTTTTAATTACAAACTCATGTTCACAAACCCAAGCATGATAACTCTGGTCGTAAAAGCCAACCAAAAGTACACCCAGTAAAGGAGAATGTTATAAAGGAGTATAACTGGACAAGGACACAATACAGTGCAATTCATTAACATAAAAATCAAGACCCTGGAATGCAAAAAACATGAAAACTTTAGGTAAGGTCATCTTCTTCCATTTCTTTGGCTTTCAGCTTCTCCTTCACCCTCAACAACAAAGTTGTCTTCCATGGGTCCTGCATGGTATTTTTGCATACAGCTCAAACTTTTAGTTAATGGGAACTAAAAACGAGCTCAAAGGTTTAAGTATGGTTCTCTTATGATAATAACAGAATCCTATTCAAAATTGTATATATTTATTTGTTTTTGTAGGATTGCTATAAACCAAATGGAACCCATGATTTGACATGCTTACCAAAGGAGTCATGCTATCAAATTCCTTTACAACATCTGTAAACTTTGCGACATCCTCTTCATCTATGGACGAAGCAATATCCTGCCAAAAGAAAAACAAGCTTACTAAGGTCGTCCATTGTGCCAAGAAAAGAAAGAAAACAAAAGGATCGTCAACATTTCCACCATTCAAAGCAAACAAATAAGATAGTGAATAAATGTTCCATCTAGAAGCATTATTGTTACACCAAACCAACTACCAGTGCACAAGCATACACACCGAGAAAAGGAGAAAAAAAATCAAATATCATAAGTGCTATAAATGATTGATCTAACAAAAACAACACAAAAAGTAATTGACTAGAAAGAAGAGAAACTAGGAGTAGCAACAAGTTTTTCAATTGAAACTTACAGCTAATAATCTGTATTCTCTTGTTCCAGAAAAAGATGGATCCAGTTCCTGTAGAAGCATATTCAATTCAAATTGTTACAGCTAATAATCTGTATTCTCTTGTCAAGAAGAGCCAAAAACATACCTGATATCGCTCCAATGCATTGTTAATTGCAACAACATCTCCTTTGCAAAGTTGGCAAATGCCAGCATTAAGAAGATGTCCTTTAACTCCATATTTCAGCAAGTTATTATTAAGAGACTGCCGTGCTATCTCTTCATATATCTCAATAGCTTTTTGATACCTGAAGAAATATTAGACAGGGATCCATAGTGTCAGAAAAACTCATTGCAGACCGGTTGCGACTATTGTCAGCCTCTACAACAACAATAATAAGAGAAAACTATAAATTTACAATTAGTATTCTCTTCCATACAATAGTGCACAAATACCTACACAAAAAAGTTGTTCAGAACATAGGAAACACTGTACTTTTCAGGCACTTGACTTGATAACCCAGTAAATCCATTTCACCAAAGCAGGGGTTCTAAACATCAACTAAGCAGAAGGCCTAAGGGATAGATCTATATGTGCATACAGTAGCATGTTTCTTCCCCTAAATATCGTCTATTTAACATAGTGAATTACAGAAAACAGCATTAGTATTACAAGATGCATCAGTTGCTTCAACTCTTTGTTTTACAGTTGTTTGACACATGTTGGATATCCAAATGGATATGAGTATTTGAGCACCCCCTTCAATTGACACATTGCACATACCAAAATCATAATAAAAATCATCTTCACAATATTGAGTTTCATCAATCATCAAATATAAGGAACTGCTTCTAAAAGTTTCAACATATTTTGCACAACCCTTAGCAATGTGTATGTATTGAGATCTTAAAAACAATAATCCACTAATGCTATCGGTTGTAAGCTTCAGATTGGAATTTGCACTTAATAGGATTATATTTATTTACTAGAGGAAAAAGGAAAAAAGAAAAAAAACTTTGAGAAGTCAAGATGCTTCTTACTGTTCCAGCTGTGCAGCAAATTGAGCTACCTTCTGCTTGCATTGGTTTGCAGAAGTACTTACTTCCTCATTTTGGAAGAAATCAGCTGCCTTTTCATAGTAGTCAATAGCCTGCTCAAGGTTCTTCTCAGCCTCATAGAGTTCTGCAATTTCCTGTGGAAAGGAAAAAGTAACCAATCAATTCAGTTTCTATGAATGACCATGGGAACATGTTTTACAAATATCTTTCAAAACTAGACAAGGAGAATAGAATCAATGTCTAGATGGTTGGTTCAACACAATTACAAACACTAGTGAAACACAAATACGAGTCTCACCATACAATGTGGCCACATTAACCAAAGGAAAAAAAGAGTGATCAACACACAACCATGCTATGGTTCAGTAAGCAATTCTCATAACCGATCATCTTTCCCTATATCTGGAACCAGAAAAATAACAATAAAAAGACAGGCTTTGTCAAGATGAATTCTACCTTGAAGTATCTTGCAGCCATGCTGAGCCTTCCAATCTCACAGAGCATGTTTACTGCCTGCTGCAAACAAGATACAGCCTCTGCATAATGACAAAATTTTTACAAGTTACAACCTACTTGTGAAAAACAGAAAAAAAGAAAAATATGAAGGCATGTTACAACAAATTGAAACATGGAACAAAGGCACAAGACTATTGGGCAAAACTTAGTCTCATGTACAAATCTTGTCCAATGATAAACTTAATTACGTTTTTTTTTTTTTACAAAAAAGAGGAATTCTGCAGACACATACATATACCATAAGGTGAACATCTTCAAGGTTTGATCCAACTTAACCAGTACCATCATTAATACTTCTCAACAGTGTTGCACAAGATTAACAATCTGACACAGAATGCTTCCAAATCTCAACTGTGTTGATATTGAATGGAAAATTTCTACTCAGCATAACATGCCAAAACCATACATACAACCTACTTTTGTTATAGTAATATATACATCATTTTCATACATACCACTTGTATTTATTTTCTTGTAGCAATGAGCAGCATCAACATAGGCTTGGGCAGCTTCATGCTTGCTCTCCAACTATACACATTAACCATAAATTAACATAACAAAGTTGATCATTAAAAAAGGATGTTATTTACTAAGAGTCATTACCTTCAATTTCAAACAAAGAAATCGATTACCTTCAAATGACAGTTTGCCAATTTCACATAAGTTGATCCAGCTTTATCCCCTGCAAAATCATTGAAGAGACTAAACAATTGCAAGCACAACATTAAACATTGATTTGATCATTGCTGAACACGTGCACGAAATCAGATGTATTTATTACATGAACATGCAATTTTAACTTCAAAATAATTAAAAAGCCAAGAAGAATAGTAATCACCACGGAACTCAGTGTAATCTTAACTGCATCAAACTTCAGACCTAATATAATACATTTATCTCCAGCAATTACAGAGTTCATACCAATCAATTTACACATTGCATAATAAAACCAATCAACCAGATTATATAATCTTAATATGAGCTGCATGGCGAAGCAAAAGCATCGAAATCTGAAATCTAATAATCTTAACAGCGTTAAAAATTAGAAACCTCGATCTCCTCTACGATCGCACTAAATCACTAAAAAAAAAATTCCTTCAAAAACACTGAAAATCAAGAAATCTTCGATCTCACATTAACTAAATAAAGTAAACATACACGATCGAATTCCGAAATAGCGTAATCGAACCGCAACAATCACAAGATCTCAAATTCTCACATATCTACATTTCTTACGCCGTAAGAGATAAACGAAGAACCAAAAGAATAAAAAAAAGTGAAAGGATCTGATACGTACAGGTTTTGGCAAGCTTGAAGGAATTGGCCGCCTTATCGAAGAGATCGGCGGCGTCTTCGTATTTGGATCCGAACAAGCCCCAGCCATTGAGCTTCTTCTCAGCTTTCTTCTCGAATTCCTCCGCCCTCGCCAATTGATCACCCATGGTTACTCGATCGTGATTAGGGTTTTGGCTTTGTGCAGTCGAGATGAAAATGAAGATCGGTGAGCGAGTTGATGAGATGGATATTATTTTCAGGTTTTCTAAAATGGTCCGAAGAAATAATTTCTTATCTTTATTAAGAAATGGAAAACAGAATATCCCAAAAAAAAAAAAAAGTTCCGGGTCAGGTTAGTTTTTGTTCCGGGTCGCTTTCGAAAATTCAACCATCAGTCTGTCACTCGCTCGCAAGATATTGGGCTGAGCTGATTGAAAATTGATCCAACATAACTGGACCCAGTTTAATGCTTTGACAAAGAAAAAATTGGGCTGGATGGGCCGAGAGGGCCCATTTTATGTTTTTTTAATAAAAAAAGGGCAAAAGGGAAAGAAAAAGGGTTGGAGATTTTTTTTTTTTTTTTGCAATGAGCTATATATGCAATAAAGCATAATCTGATTTTTTTTTTTCAATCCCTCTTTATTTGTTTTTGAGATATCTAGATTTCCAACTTAAAGTTTTATATTCTTATCAATTAAAATGGTTGGGAATGATAAGTTCTTTAAGTGTTAGATCATTTGATTCATTTGGTTGGGTTACCAACATGAGTAAGAAAAAACTTTACGACTGGATCTAACAAGACTTGAAGAGGAATCCTATAAAACCCAAGGGCATCTAAGTTTAAACATGATGATTGTCATATTCTTTGTACACTTGATAAATGAGCTATATAATTTATGATTTTTTTTAAAGTCTTTTCTTACATATATCTGAATATTTAAATTTGAAGTCACAAAAAATTTTTTTTTTTTTTTTAACATGGAGAATTGTGAGGGTTGAAAAGATTTTTCAAATAGTTAATAGAAATCAAAATTTTAACTAATTAAATTTAAGTATTAAAATGTAAAAATAAATTATTGAATCTAAAGCTTCTGTTTCGAAGTAAGAAGTTATAAAATTTTATTAATTGAGACGTTCCTTCAAACAATGATTATCACTTAAGTTGACCCTTCCTATTTTTTATGAAGTGTATTGGCAAAGGTAAAGATGCTTTTGCATCATGCTATGTT